ATCCCCCCCCCCCCCGAACAGAAAGATGTGATCATTCTTTTATGTGACATAGATTCAAGTATAAAGTCGAAGCACCATTTCCCATAGGAATGCATTAGAATGGAATTAATCTGTTCTGGCCGAAGGAAAAAAATCACAAAAGAAAGTCACTGCAAAACTCATTGGAAATGTGATTAATCCCTTCTGGCTGAAAGGGGGGGGGAGAGAAAAGCAATCAAGCGCGCAAGACCCATTGGAAATGCAGAGAAAACAAGCGGAGCAGATCAGAAATGCACAGAGAACAAAGGGGGCAGGTTGGAAATGTAAAGAAAACAAAGGAAAAAGCAAGGGAAGCATGCACAGCCCATCGGAAATGGGGGAAAACCCCCAAAAAACAACCAAACCCCCCAAGCCCTTTGGAAATGGGGAATAAAAAGCCAACAAACAAACCCCCCAAGCCCCATCAGAAATGGGGGAAAAACCCCAAAGCAACCAAATCCCCCAAGACCCTTTGGAAATGGGGGGGGGGAAGCCAGCAAACAAACAAACCCCCCAAGACCCATAAGTCGAGGCACCACTGTACTTACAACAACACATATTTAAAGATGAATTTGTTTGCTTCCCAAGCTATACGGGTTTTTTAAAGGTCAATTATTTATTTGCTCCATTTTTAGGAACTGCTAGGGACGTGGTGGTGCATTTTATTTTATTTTATTTTATTTTATTTTATATCCCGCCTATCTAGTCGGTTAAGACCACGCTAGGCGGCTTACAACATAGAAGTACACAATGAAAATAATATATAAAACGGTTTTTACATAATAAAAACCTGTCGACAAAACAGTGTTCCGTGTCTAAGTCGCACTGGCCATGTGACCACGGAAGATTGTCTTCAGACAAACGCTGGCTCTATGGCTTGGAAACAGGGATGAGCACCGCCCCCTAGAGTCGAACACGACTGGACAAAAATTGTCAAGGGGAACCTTTACCTTTACCTAAGAACTGCTGGATAGATCAAGTGGTTTAGGGATCTGGCTGCGGAGCTAGAAGTTGGGAGTTCGATTCCCCCACTGGGCCTCCTTGAAAAGGACTGATGATCTATACTATAGGATCCCATTCCAGTTTTGCAGTTTTTAAGATTAGATTAGATCAGATTGCCAGTAAAAAGATTATACTCAACCACTCCACACCCTCAGTTTATTTCATGGTTTAAGTAGGGATTTGAGCCTACATCTCCCCTATCTTCAGCTAAGACCCTAACAACCATACCTCACTGGGCCTTAATTTAATGATTTATTTACTTGGCAATGTCAGCCAAATTAATCCAGTAGGAGAAAGGAGAGCTGGTTCCTTCTTCTGCTCCTCCTTGAAAGAGGCTAGATTCGGTGATCCATAGCAGCCCTTCCAGTTCTCTACTTCTAGCATGATGAAGAAATGCCCTTTCTTTGCTTTTTTTTTTCATCATTTTCTTCTTCTTTGGGCTGGTTTGAAAACATCTCTCCAGCAATTTGAGTGAGGAAAACTGTTCCCACTTCAAAGAATTTCCTAACGACATTTAAAAAAAGAAAAATGGTAAATGTCACAGGCTTTGTTTATAACAAATTGTGCAATAGATGTCCACTAAATGTAGGTTAAATAAGAGGGAAATGCTTGGCTTAAAATAAAACAGGAACGAGTGAGCAATTCTTGGCCTGCTCACTCTTAAAATGAGAGGATGAGGGAAGAGATTTTGGAGCAGGAAAGATTCGGGAGGTGGGGTAAGCCCAACCGAGCTTCAGTGAAATTCCTTCAGTGCTGTATTCCTGCTCTCACCTGGCTTAATTTAATCCATTTACAATTTCATGGCCTTTATAAGTGGGATCTGCCATCAAGGGCTTCAGATGTCAAGTCCAGAAATTCTCCTCTCTCTCTCTGTTTTTTCTCTCTTTCCCTTTTATTCCCATCCTCCCATTTAAAACATGCAGGCTTCCCTTCCGCAGCACATTCCCCTGTAGCCAGGATCTTGGGTCTGCCCTTTCCCACGCTCTAAGACCAGAGTCGTAAGGCTGGTCTCCTCCTGCACCCATTCCTCTGCGTCATTCTTTGCCGACGATAGAGAGAGCAAATGGGGTGGGCAAGAGAGAAGAGCCACGCGTGCAGAAAGATACCTCCCCAGGCAGATTTTAACAAAGTTTTCTGTTCGCCTTCTGTTTGTGTTCCAGTTTTGACTCCTCCCAAGGGGTCCATGTCTATTTCCTTCTAAGCTGCGCATCTCATTCACCTTTCCCCTGTGATCTTTCTGTTCCACTGTTTGAAAAAGTTACGTATTTTTCCGTGTATAAGACACCTCCCATTTTCCTAACAAGTGGAGGGGAAAGCAGGGATCAAAGCCTTGCAGGATCACTTTGATCCCTGCTTTCCCCTCCACTTGTTTTTGTTCTTTCCTCATCTTACTTTTGTCTATAAGATGACCCTCAATTTTTAGTCTAAAAATTTTAGACAAAAGTATAGTCTTATACATGGAAAAATATGGAACTTTTTTGGGGGGTGTGCCTCCCGCAAGTCCCCATTCAGCAGGGCTGATTGGAAGGCCCTGGAACCTATACTTTAAAAAGAGTAACTTTTCCAAGCTTTGTCTTCTACTTCCCATTTTCTCACCACCGCCCTCCTCCCTGAAAAGCTGGCAGAGATCTGTGCTGGAACAAGATTGCTTCCCTTATTCTGTACCCCCCCTCCAACAAAGAGGGCTTTCTGGAATGTTCCATCTTGCATGACATGACGATGAAGGGGGAGAAGATGTCGAAAAAGGAGTGTTTCCTTTAAAGCTCAAATCGACTGCAGCTGTTAAGTCTTGGCTTCTGATTAAAAACATGTGGCCATACCCTGAGGCGAGACCACCAAACGGCTGCTGTCTCCAACTGCAAGAGAGAATGCCAGAAAGCATTGACTAGTAAGGGGTGCTGGGGGTGGGGACTGAAATGGTACAGCCCATATGGGGAATGGTGTTCCCTGTTCGTAAGTTTGCATTCATAGGTCTGATTCAAGATGGGGATTAACTTGAATACCCTGATGGAAATTCAGCAATCATAGAAACGAATCTAACATGGAAATATTGGCCTATTCTTATCTGCTACAATAATTTGAAAAGACACAGGACAACACTTGAAACCTTCCCTCTCTCAACTGTTAGTGTTTATGAACATTCCGTGAAACCAGCCTCATAGAAACTTTGGGGAAAGGGGTTTCCTAGCTCTGCTGGTTGAGAATCCTTCTGAAGGAGCCACAACCATGACATCTGAAAACAGATTTCTGTGTTTTGCCCATGACAAAGTGAATCCAACCGTCCATTTGCCACTGGCAAGAGTCTCAATTGTTGTATGATGTCACAGAATGTTCAAAAATACTCCATAATGGTTGAAGGAGAAAGTTCAGCCATGGCATGTCCGTTATAGAAATGTGTTAGTGGTGAATCCGTGAGTGGTTTAAGAAATGCTTACCATGTGAAAATGGCAAACTTGTTTTGAAATGGCTACGTCGCAAATGGACATTAAAAAAAATTGCTTGATAAATAAGCGTGAAAATTGAATCAGTGGTTTCGGCAAAAAGGTTTTAAATCCATAAGGACAAAAAGCATACGGTTACACTTTTCTTTTCCTACACAAGCTTCTAGGCTATGACGAAAAGCCCCTCACCCTCCAGATGTTCATTGGCACAGCAGATGAGCGAAACCTACGCCCCCATGCCTTCTACCAGGTACACCGTATCACCGGCAAGATGGTGGCCACCACCAGCTACGAGTCCATCATCAGTGGTACCAAGGTCCTTGAGATATCCTTGCTGCCCGAGAACAACATGACAGCCAAGTAAGTCCCTTTTTTTTTTTTTTTGCAACCACAGGAGTAAGAGGTTCTTCTCCTGCCTGTAAGAGGCCTGGAGAATATATCAGGATGGAATGTCTCCATGTCCTGTGGATTATCTGGATTATCAGTTGTGCAAACTTCAGATTACAGAAGAATCTAGAATTCCTTAAGGTCCCGAAAGATTTCTGACTGCTATAACATAAGGTTTCTCAGCTCCTATATCTTGGAAATTAGTTTTCCTTGTTTTGGGGTTGAGCCACACAAGATAAACAGGCTTCTTTTTTTTAAGTCTAATTCTTTTGGCACAAATCTGTGGAATCGCTATCAGCTTCTAACAACATGGTATCGGTGTCATCTGATTGGTCCCTGAGAATGTGCACAACACGGAAGGCAAGACGGTCCTGTTTCTCTGACACTGGCATTCGTAGCCTGGGCTAGAGGCACGCTGGATGCCTACAGGAAAAGCGTCATGAAATGCCTTTGGTAGATCCATGACTTTGGGGTCTCTTATCTTGTGGCTCTGGGACGATGTGATTACATCTACGAGCTTTGCTGTAGATCCTCGGACATTCTTGGACTCCAACTCCCAGATGCCCTTGTTAGCACAGCTAGTGGTAAAGGCTTCTTGGAGTTGCAGCTCAAGAACATCCAGGGACCCAAGGCTGGGAACTATTGCTGTAGACAATAGATTTTGTAGTGTGCTCGGGATGGATGCTAGAGGCACATGGGCACCCCCATGAGGCTACAACATAGAAGTCTTACAGCCATACTCTGCTGGAAGCCCAGTGACTGATACAGATACATGCATGCCTCTCACTTCCTTCCTGAAATATCCGTTCTCCACAGCCAAGCTATAATCACATCTGCTTAGAAAAGAAAATTTGTGGTTTGCAGACATGCCATAAGACTAACAGGAGATTTATATCATTTCTGTGTAATAGCAGGTATCAGGAGCATATGCATATTCTTAATTTTTTCTTTCTTTCAAAAATCAGCTTATGGGGATGAGAGCCAGGTATGAATATCAATATGACGGTGAAAGCAGAGAGCAGCAGAATTTGTCTCACAGCAGGAAAAAAACAAACAAACACCTTTATCTGTTCCACATCCAGCTCAATGGTTTTCCTTCCACTTTCTCCCACTCGCCCCTCTTTCCCGCTGTTCACCTTCCCCGCTTTCCAGCATTGACTGTGCAGGCATCCTCAAGCTGCGAAACTCAGACATTGAACTCCGCAAAGGCGAGACCGACATTGGACGCAAGAACACACGGGTGCGGCTGGTCTTTCGGGTCCACATCCCACAAGGCAACGGCAAAGTGGTCTCAATCCAGGCGGCCTCCGTGCCCATCGAGTGTTGTGAGTGCAGCCGGAATGGCTTTTCCATCCAGGAGATGGTGGGAGGAGGCGCCACCTTCTCCTTCGCTTCAGACAAGACAGTCTTCGTGGTTGTTCTGCAGGGAAGGGGACTTGCAAGGTTTCATAGAATCAGAGAAAAGTGAAGTTGGAAGGGGCCTACAAGGCCATCCAGTCCAACCCCCTGCTCAATGCAGGAATAGAAATCGAGTGATATCTGCCAGGTGATGATCTAAGTCTCTCTTGAATGCCTCCAGTGTTGGAGCACTCACCAACTCCCGAGGTCACTGGTTCCATTGTCGTACTGCTCTAACAGTCAGGAAGTTTTTCCTGATACTCAACCGAAATCTGGCTTCCTTTAACTTGAGCCCATAGTTGTGTGTCCTGCACTCTGGGATGATTGAGAACAGTTAAAAAAAAAGACTTGGACCTAACTTGCAACTTGGACTCATTTTTTCCATATTACGTTGTCGAATCCCTCTTAGGGATTGGCTGTCCTACCTGCTTCCACCGCCACCATCCTCAGAGGCAACAGAGCCAGCTTTCCTTCCTGGAACCGGCCTCTACCTCTACGCATGCGCCAGGCGATCAGCTGGGTGGTGTGTGTGTGTGTGTGTGGAAGCAGCAGACAACATCTGGAAGGAGCGCTGGGCCTGCTGCCTCTGAGGACGGCGGTGGCAGGAGGTGGTAGGAAAGCCACCGACTCAAGGGGGGACTCAAGGCTTTGGACTCAGGACTCAGACCCCAAAACTTGCCAGCATCCCTCTTGTTCCAGATGGAGCATGTGGTCTCCTCGCCAACATGCTGTCCTTTGCTCTCTTCCCACAGCCCAGCGCTCTGCTCAGGAACTCCCCCAGGTGGAAAACTACAGCCTCAGCGCATGCTCAGTGCATGGTGGAGAGGAGATGGTGATCAGCGGGGCCAACTTCCTGCCTGAATCCAAGGTTGTCTTCATTGAGCGGGGCCCCGGTAAGTGACGCCTCATGTCGTGTATAGCTTGCTTTTGTTCACTTTGGACTACTTGATCATTTTGGATCCTGGGTTGGTTGGTTGATTTACTACACTTATATACCGCTGACTTGGTGCATGCGCTGTTCAAAGCGGTTTACAACACAGTTAGTGAACAATAACCCCCAACCGCCCAGGGAACCAACAAATTTCCCCAGTCAACACATACAACGGAAACATAGCATTCGAAGTGATAGTGGACTCCAGAAAAAAATGAAACACAGTGGTGCCTTGCTTAATGATTACCTCGTTAAACGATGAATCCGCTTGACGGTGAGTTTTTTGCGATTGCTTTTGTGATCGCAAAATGATGTTTCAATGGCCAAAAATCCCTTTATGGCGATCAATTCCCTGCTTCGGGAACCGATTCTTCGCATTACGACGATCTGAAAACAGCTGATCATCAGTTTTCAAAATGGCCACCCGCTGTGCAAAATGCTCCCTGCTGTTTTTAGGAGGCATTTTCTGCTTTACAGGCACCGGAAAATGGCCGCCCTATGGAGGATCTTCGCTGGACGATTAGGTATTTAGCACATTGGAACGCATTGAACTGGTTTTCAATGCATTTCAATGGTTTTTTTATTTTCGCTTGACGAGGATTTCGTTCTACAGCGGTTTTGCTGGAACGGATTATCCTCGTCAAGCGAGGCACCATTGTATACTTAACAGAGGATGTTCTGGAATGCTTCATGAAACAATAACGTCTTCCGCATCCTCTTAAAGGATGGGAGGGAGGATGCCTGATGGATTTCTGCCTGGAATCCATTCCATAGGGTAGAGGCCTCAACTGAGAAGGCACAATATTTAGTAACAGTCTTCTTTTCGACTTCTTTTAGCAGAATGGAGCCTCTGTGGGTGAGAACACTGTGCCTGCAGTCAGCAGACACTGGGATTAGACAGTAAAGTATAGCAGTCTCCAGCGTAACCTGTTTGAAAGCTTCTGAGAGGAGTCTAACTAGGCTTTGTGGGCCTATGGCTTCAGCCATCAAGCTTCCCCATAGACTGGATGCCGCTGTGCGACGCTTTGCTTTTAGACTCCGCCCTGCCCTGCCCTGAACCAATCACTTTTCTGGTTTCAGATGGAAAACTCCAATGGGAAGAGGAGGCAAATGTGAACCGGTTGAAAAGCACAGAGGTGAGGATTATTCCAGATGTTTTCATCAATATGAGAAGTGCGCAGGGGTGTGGTGGGCAGGATTTTTCTTGTCAGGAAGAGGCCTTCTGGATCTTTACTGGAGTTTTGAAGTGGGGACAGGGAGATGCTTTTAATGTATAGGGATGATGGCAAGGAATAAGCTGGCTACATTCCTGTTTGTTTTGCCGCTCAGTCTAATATTTCAGTAAAAAAAAAAAATTCAGACAAAATCTTGTTGGTGTACATTTACACCAGTGTAACCTGAATTGACACTAGAAATATGTAATCGAATGGAAAGTTTCTTCTCCCTTTCAGGTTCCGAGGCTCCCTTGGGATCCCTTTTAGCCTTAGGATGCGGGAGTGGGCAAAAATCACCAGCGGCCCTCCTGCCTTGGGTGGCAATCTGTTGGGATTTTTTTTTACTGTTAAAAGCTCCCCCCACCCCATCTTGTCAGTGTAACCTGAATTGACACTAGAAATATGTAATCGAATGGAAAGTTTCTTCTCCCTTTCAGGTTCCGAGGCTCCCTTGGGATCCCTTTTAGCCTTAGGATGCGGGAGTGGGCAAAAATCACCAGCGGCCCTCCTGCCTTGGGTGGCAATCTGTTGGGATTTTTTTTTACTGTTAAAAGCTCCCCCCACCCCATCTTGTGGCTCTCAAAGACATCCCCAGGGCAAAAGAAAGCCTTCGGGAGCCTTAAAACCTGAAAAGGGGAGATACGGACTTTTCAATTCATTGATATAATATATTTCTGGTGCCTGATTCTGGTTAAAGGTAAAAAATTCAGACAAAATCTTGTTGGTGTACATGTACACCTGTGTAACCTGAATTGACACTAAAAATATTTAATCGAATGGAAAGTTTCTTCTCCGTTTCAGGTTCTGAGGCTCCCTTGGGATCCCTTTTAGCCTTAGGATGGGGGAGTGGGCAAAAATCACCAGCGGCCCTCCTGCCTTGGGTGGCAGTCTGTTGGGATTTTTTTTACTGTTAAAAGCTCCCCCCACCCCATCTTGTGGCTCTCAAAGGCTTCCCCAGGGCAAAAGAAAGCCTTTGGGAGCCTCAACAACTGAAAAGGGGAGATACGGACTTTTCAATTCATTGATATAATATATTTCTGGTGCCTGATTCTGGTTAAAGGTAAAGGTAAAGGTTCCCCTTGACAATTTTTTTTGTCCAGTCGTGTTCGACTCTAGGGGGTGGTGCTCATCCCCGTTTCCAAGCCATAGAGCCACCGTTTTGTCCAAAGACAATCTTCCGTGGTCACATGGCCAGTGTGACAGACACGGAACGCTGTTACCTTCCCATCGAGGTGGTCCCTATTTATCTACTTGTATTTGCATGCTTTCGAACCGCTAGGTTGGCAGGAGCTGGGGCAAGCGACGGGCGCTCACTCCGTCGCGTGGATTCGATCTTATGACTGCTTGGTCTTCTGACCCTGCAGCACAGGCTTCTGCGGTTTAGCCCGCAGCGCCACCACCTCCCTCACTGATTCTGGTTACACCGGCATAAATTTACACAACAGGATTTTGATCAATGAATGACACAACTGTTCACAACAAAACCTGCCCTGATTTCTTCACTTGCAATTGTTTGCTACTGAAAGTTATGCAGGCTGTCATATATAATGGGATTCCAGCCAATATTACATTTATATCTTTGGGAACTGTTTCACTAGAAACTCGCCCCTACTACTCGGAATCTCTATTTTCCCATTTTGTTTTGGAGGAGGGATATATTTTGGAGGGGGGCTGTCTTCCTTCTGGCGATATTTTCCCATTTTGTTTTGGAGGAGGAATATATTTTTGGAGGGAGGACTGTCTTCCTTCTGGCGATGCCAAGGAGCTGCATTAAAGGCTTTGGGAGGTCCAGAATTCGCACTCCTGCATTGCATGGATCAGACACATAGGGTTACAAAAAGGGCATGGAGAGAGAAAGAAAACACAGATTCAGCCCAGTGCCATTGTAGGAGATGAATTTGGGATAAGAAAGACAGTCCCATTAGGCCATCTCAACTGTGGTGGCCTCTCAGTGTGTTGGAGTCGGACTACTGCCTCTTTTATCCAGAGGTGGCTCAGGGACATGGAGCTTGTAATCCAACACAGCTGGAGGTTATCCGATGGGGAGACAGCGCCTCCAATGGAGTCAGCCAGCTGCAGCCGGCAGCAATCCTGGAAAACGAAGAAACAAAACCCCGTTGTTCCTTCCGGAGCTGACGTGGTGGGCTTTTGGTGACTCACCCGTCCCTTGGGTGCAGCCAAGAGAAATGGCTGGTGATGGAAGCAGATCTAAGAGGGGAAGCTTTCTACACAGATCTGGATTAAGAGCATGTGTAGGCTTTTCCTTCCCTCGTAGGGTGAGACAAAGAACAAATCCAGAAGGACTTGTTTCTTCTTCTTCTAAGGAACACAGAACGTAGAACAGGGGATCTTGAAACCACCATTTTAAAAAAGATCTGGGCTTCTGGATGAGTTGGGAAGGGTTTCTAACCCATAATACTTAGGAAGAGTTTCTAACCAATAATAGGTGGTAGACCTTGATTTGGAAATGAAACTGTAAGGAAGAGCTGTTGTTTTTACGTGTCCTCAAGTCCGAACTGACTTACGATAACCCTAATTGGGTTTTCAAGGTAAGCGAGGTATTTAAGCAGTGGTTTAGCTGGCCGGATTGTCGGCACTGGAGGTATCTGGTGGTGGAGTTTGAGTTTGGGAGCTCAGTTCCTCACTGGGCCTCCTCCAGTAGAGCCAGCCTGTGTGGCCTTGGGCAAGCGTCAACGCCTCATGATACCCCTGAAGAAGGGAATGGGAAACCACATATGAGTATTCTCTACCTGGAAAACCCTGAAAAGGGTCACCATAAATTAGAATTGATAGCACATGATGATGGTGATAGTGATGGTGATGTACGGCTTCCACTCCCTTCCATGGCAGAGCTGGAACCCACCTCTCCTGAATACTAGCCCATTATTCTGCCCACCGCACCACACCGCGTACAGCGGACCCTCAACTTACAGACGGTTCCACTTAACAGACTTTTCAAGTTACAGACTTCTCTGGCCGCAAAATTTAGTTTCAGCTTGCAGCCAGAGAATCAACCTACAGACCGGGAATAAAACCAAAATGGAACAAAAATGTCCAGTTACGGGATTAATCGGTTTTCAATGCCTTGTAGGTCAATGGAGCCCTCGACCTACATACTTTTTGACCTGCAGCCACTGTTCCAATACGGATTAATTCCTTAAGTCGAGGGTCCACTGTACCCGTAAAAGGAAATTAACCTTGCCCTTTATAACCCACTTTGCTCCCACAGACCTCGCTGGCCCTTACGGTTCCCGAATACAGCAACAAGCGAGCCTCGCGGCCTGTTCAAACCTATTTTTATATTTCCAATGGACGCCGGAAAAGAAGCCCAGCTCAAGCCTTTAAGTACTTGCCTGGTATGTGTGAGATGAGAGGGGAACAGATGATTACAAAAAAAAAAATAATAAAAAAATCCCCACAGATTGATATTTGACCCTAATCCTCTCTTCTCTCCCCACTTCATCAGTGATCTTCAAGGAAGAACCACTGCCGGACTCTCCCCGCCACAGTTTTCCACCTCCAGCCCCTCATTTCCCACCCCAGGCGGTCCAAGGAGCCATGGATTTCTCCCCTTCCAGGCCACCCTTCCCTTACAGCCCCGAGCGCTCCCCACCCTGCTCCCCCTATGGCCCCAAATGGAACCCTTGCTCCTTCCCCACCCCGCCCCGCTACAGCCCCACCTTCCGCTTCCCTGCCAACGAGGCGTACAGCGGTGGCGTTAACCTCTCCATGTCGCTCCTCGCGCCTCCCGCCCCGCCCCACTTCCACGCTTTGGATGGCTGCCCCCCACACTTCCAGGGCCCCAGCCCCCAGCTCAGCCCTCAACCGCCAGGACGGGGAGACGCTCACGGTGGGGAGAGGACGTCAGAATGGACGGATCCGGAGCTGGCGCCGGAGGAGCCTAGCACCAAGGAGTTGGAAAAGCCAGGATTTGGTGGCGAATTTCGGGATAGTTTGCCCATCCATGGGATCACGCTGGAGGAAGGTAAACCTGGACACGGCAAGAGTTCTACTAGCCCTAAGTAGAGATGGGCACGAACTTCGGTTCGTACATTTGTGCCGGTTCGTGCACGTTCCCTTCCCCTGTCTCCCCAGCTGGATCCCCCACTCACCAGCCAGCACACTCTCCTTTCTTTCTCCTCTTTGGCCGTTCAACCAGTTTTCGGCAGGCTCCCCGTGCAGCCTCCTTGGTTGATTACCTACTCAGACAAAGCAACAGGACAGGTAACCCCATACTCCTTCCAAGGACTGGTTGAACGGCCAAAGAGGAGGAAGAGAGGAGTGCACTCTGACTGAGGAGTGGGCCAAGTTGGCTTGGGAGAAAGGGGAAAGGAAATACACAGTACCTGTGTTTCCGTGTGTACGAACCGGCACGAACCTCCAGAGTGAAGTTCGTGCCCATCTCTAGCCCTAAGCTTCATTTCGGAGGGATTTAAAGTTACATTTGGGAGACAAAAATCAAAGTATTTGTGGATAATACAGAACACCGATCCAGGATCTGAAATGATCATGGTTTTAAACATAGTCAAGGTGCTATGACCAAGGTGGCCCTGTTTCTTGAAGCCGCTTACCGGACTTTTGAAAATAGGGGAACCCGTACGAGTGTCTAAGAGTCCGACCTTCTCAACAGGACAGAAAAAGGTGGAACCAAAGACCCCTTCTGCATTTGTAGAAATGGAAACTCCTTTAGCGTGAGTTCCCCCCACCAGCAGTTCATCCAACTTAATGGTGTTCTTAAAAAAAAAAGCCAGGCAAAATATTGGGGATTTTTCACTCCCGGTAGAGTCATCAGGAGCAGTATTTTTTTCTTAATTTGGGATTTTTTTTAACAGTGGCCAGAGAAGCCAAATCAAAACAAAGTGATCTCCACCCCATTTCCAGCCATTGACAGGCCCAGTGTGGCCATTGTGGATCCTGGGGCCAAAAATTGACCAATTCCTGGTCACCGAGTGGGATCTTGGCTTTCTGAGGGCTGAGGTAGCGATGTTTCCGAGCTGTTACTTATAGATGGTGGGGATTCAACCCCAGCAGGCGAAAAGGGAAATTTCTTAGCCATCTTGGGTTCTTTCTGAGGAGAAAGGCGGGATAAAAATATTTTAAATAATAGATAATAATGGATATTTTAAATAATAGATAAGCAGATAATTCTTTGAATCCTTACTGGTCCTCAGCCACTAAAAGAAGCCCCATGCTCACCACCCTGCCAAGTCATTGCTACCACTCCCCTTCCACTTACTCGAATGGCTGAGCAGCCAGTGAGGAAATTTTTTAAAAAATGCCCTCTCTCATTCATCTTCTTAAACAGTGTTCCTAAAGCCTGGGCAATAATGCTTAAGAAGCACTTTAGTTATCTTGTTGCTTCTGAGGACTTGAGACTATTTTTTTCCCTAATTACATTTAATTTGTTTTTAAAGGTAATAGTTCTCACAGGTAAAAAGAAATAAGGGTTTTTTGTTTCCTTTTAAAATAAACCCCTGAATCATAGAAGCTGCAACTTGTGAGACGAAATATAGTCTCCACCTGTTGTTTTCCCCATAAAAATGGGAGGAGTAGGTGTGAGTCGCAGGTGTGACTTAAGTCTGACTTAGCAGTGAGTCCCCCTTCCCTGACATCAGCCGTGTGATCTTCTTCTGTTGTGAATTACAAGGCCATGCCTGTATAATGATAAGACGTTATGTACAAGTAACTCATTATTGGTAGGGAGTTCTTTCCAAACCTTGCCGGACCTCAAGTTGTTATTAGGAAATGTAGTATGGGTGATGTTACAATTACTGTTATCATGGTGTTGGAGATACAGTGGTGCTTCGCAAGACGATTTTAATTCGTTCCGCAAAAATCGTCATCTTGTGAAAAAAATCGTCTTGCGAGGTTCCCTATGCATCGATCTCAAAAAAAAAAGTCTTGCGAAGCATCACTCTCAAAAAAAGTCTTGCAAAGCACAGTCATAGAAAAAAAGTCTTACGAGGCACCATAGTGATCGCAAAAAACAATTGTCTTGTGGGGTTTTCATCCCATGAGGCAATTGTCTAGCGAGGCACCACTGTATTAGGAGCAAAGGCTAGGACATGATCGTGGCTGCTCTGAGGTCACCTCAGAAGTTGATGGTTTTGCACCTTAAGCCATTGGCTCTCGTGCTCAACTGCTGCATTCTACCTCTGTGCAATGAGTGTTGATTTAGCCCCGTCCCGTCTCCTGCCTTAGTCTTGTCTCATTCCCTCACCAGTAACCGAGATCATCGGGAGGGACCTGAGCGACTTCCCCAACCCGTCTTGCGAAGGAGGGCGGAGCTGAGGAACGGCGCCCCTCCAGGACATTCAAAATCTTCCAGACAAAAGGAGAAACTGCTCCGAGAAGGGCAGCCGGCAACGTTGAACCCGAACAACAGTTTTGCCAGTCTTCAGGGACCCTTGTATTTATATAACATCTGACATTGAGTTTCCTGCCTGTCCTGTTGCATTCCCTTGTCTCCTGATACAGTACTTCTATAAAACGCACTGCCACTCAAGACTTCCCACAGTGGATAATAGTAGAGGTTCTTTTTGACGAATCTTCTGTCCTTTGACGACGTCCAACCCGGAGAAGCCTTAAGGAGGTTGACACCGCAGGCATCCTCCTCCTGTCCGTCTGCCGTGTCTGATCATCGGGAGAAAACACAGGACTGTGGACCAAAACTGGGTTTGGACAATTGGCTATCATGGCCCCTAAGAGGCCCAGCCTTTCCTCCATTTATCTAACACCCTTTTAAATCACTCTGTGATGTTGGCCAGCGGACGGTCTGTGGCAACGGAGTTCCATGGATTAGTCATCCCAAAAATAGCCATGCTAGTAAAACCTTCCAATTTACCACATTGTCATGTCTTGTCTGTACATTCATCCAATTTCTTCTATGTTATCTACAGTACCTGTCTGTTTATCCATTATCCATCCGTAACATTCAGTCTATTTGGGTCTTTTCTCTTTTATAATGGACAAGAGGTGATTCTACCCTCCCATAATGGTTTTTAATGGCAATGTCAGAGATGACATCCATAAAAGCTGGAATAATATTCTCAGGCATAGCAAGGTTTTGTGGAGCCTTATGTGAGAGAGTTCTGCAGTGAGACATTTGTAAAAGCTTCCCCAAAAGCCAGAGAATTCATAATTTTTCTCTCTCTTCCCATCTTGTAGTTTAGAATTGTGAGAGAATCTGTTGTGTGTTCCGAAAGGCAGGAGCAGGAACAGTAAGCACAAATAATCAGGTTATTTTACATCGATTCTTTCCCACTTCTATATATACCAAAAACAAAGGTCATTCTTATTTCCATGCAGATTTTTAGAGAACTGTAAAAATCCATGTAAAACAGTGATTTTTTTTTAAAAAAATGAAATATTTAAAAAGTACTTATGAGCTGCTCCAAGAACTTATTGTTGTTGTTGTTGTTAATTAACTAGGCACCAAAGTTCCTGTCGTTTGTGTTAAAACAAAACAAAACCAAGCCAAAATTAACCACAGTGCACTTAGGGATCTCAATCTCAGCTTATTTTGTTTTCCTGTGTGAGAACGAAAATGTCAAAAGTTGTTTACCAGCTGGGTGAGCTTATAACTTCTGCATTTTTTAAAACCGTTCAAGACTTTTGTAGGGGAAAAATTAACAATCCCAAAATCCCACCCATCCAAGATTTTGTATTTTCTGTAATATGTATTTTGTTAATGTTTCTGCTGAGAGGGAAAAAAAGAAAAAGTGCTGGTCTTTTTTCGGACTCGTGCGTAAGCAGAAATTCCTGTGGTGGCTGAAAACAGTGTTTTCAATGGGATGAGGAGACACCTTTTCTACACGATAAAATTCTTGGCCCTTTTACTGTACACAGAACTTGGAAGTAATGGTCAGAATTAGAGATGGGCATGAACCGCCTGTTCGGGCAGTTTGTGGTGGTTCTTTTTTTTGTCCGAACTCGTGTTCAGCACTTCTCAGCCCCGCCTCCTCTAGCAGGCACTCGCTCAGCAGCAGCATCCTGGCTTCTTTGCCCCACCTCTTCTGGGAACTCTCTCTGAGTGGCCATCCGCTGGAGGAGGCGGGGCTGGGAACTGCGGAACGCTTGTTTGGCTGAGAAACGAACCGGCATGAATCGCCAAACTGAAGGTTTGTGCCCATCTATAGTCAGAATCCCATTTGAATTATGCTAATATGAGTGCAATGCTATAATTTACTACAGTGGTGCCTCGCTTAACAACGATAATCCGTTCCAGGAAAATCGCTGTTAAATGAAAACATCGTAAAGCGAAATTAAAAAGCCCATTGAAACGCATTGAAAACCGTTCAATGCATTCCAATGGGCTAAAAACTCACAGTCCAGAGAAGATCCTCCATATGGCGGCCATTTTCGGTGCCTGTATAGCAAGGAATCCGTCCCTAAGCACAGCAGGGAGCCATTTTAAGCACCTGGTGGCCATTTTGAAAACCCGACAATCAGCTGTTTTGATCGTTGTTAAGCGAAGAATCAGTTCCTGAAGCGGAACCGATCATTGTTAAACGAAAAAAACCTATTTAAAACATTGTTTTGCGATTGCAATTGTGATCACAAAAACATCGTTGTTAAGCGGATTCGTCATAATGCGGGGTAATCGTTAAGCGAGGCACAACTGTACTGGTGAATGGCTACTTATCAGCAAGTTGCCACTTGTACACCACTTGTACACAACATTGCACACTCATCCCATGAGCTGGTGCTCAAGGGGTACAAGAGCTGACTCATGAACTGTTAATTTACATTATTGCACTCAATGCCATCATAACCAACCAGTAAGGTTCTGCCAATATTTTTGGAAGTAATTACATGACCAGTAAAGCATTTCTTTTTTTAGGGCATTAATATATCCCTGTTGTGCAATATCATGAGGACTAGTAACCCCATTCCTTTTTAAAAGTATGACAGTGTTTTCACTTCTTCTAAAATGGCTTAAAAGGCTTGTGACAGACATTTAAGGCTGATTTTCCCCCTTAATTTTAAATGGATTTTTGCAAAAGTAGCAAAAAGAGGAACACATTAATAATGATAGCTGAAGAGCGACATGACAATGATCCAAAATGCCTGTCATTACTTCCTAAAAATAATGTCCCCAAATCTGCTGTGTATATTTTCCCAGAAGAGACACGGCTGGTGATTTGCTCTCATCCTTGAAAAAACTGTAAAGCGAAGTGTGCCGCTTATCTGCTGCCCCATAGCATTTAAAACACTCTCTAGGTGCTTTACAATGTAATTACGCAAGCTACACATTGCACACACTCGCAGAGCGAGCTGGGTACTCAATTTACTGACCTCAGAAGATTGAATCAACCTCAGTCTGGCTACCTGAATCTGTTGGATTTGAACTTGAGTCGTGAGCAGAGTCTTGACTGAAGCACTGCAGTTTAACCACTGTGCCTTGGGGCTCCTAAAGGTCATTCCCTGGAGGATATGCACTGGGTTTTTTTTAAGGCATTTTGGCTGCTATTTACTATAATAAATAAATAAGGTTTTTTAAAAAAAAATTAAAAGAGGTTTGATCCACAGACTGTCTCTTTAGAAAACTGACCAGTGTCTGAATTCTGAAACCATCTCAAATCGGATTCAGTTATGAATGCATGGATTGGATGAGTTCTGTTTGGGGGTTCTAGCTATCCAAAGTCTTTTACCATTTCTGATCTTGAGGCCTACCCTTGTATTGCATTAACAAAATGTTTGCACTGTGTTAACCTTCTGTCTACGTGCAGGTATTATTTTGCTGTTACTCTGGGTCTTCGGTAGCCATTCTGCCGATCTAGTTCCTCGAATGTCTCTGTTTTGCAAAACCCCTCATCTCAATCTCTACCAATTTATGCGGTACAATGATCCTTCTCAAGTATAGGGGTGATGTATCCCATCTCTTTTCTCCTGAAGGCCTGCCAGCCTCTATATTCCAGAAACCCTTTGTTTGCCTTTGCGGCGGTAGCATTATTTGAGAAATTGTTGGTGGGTATGGGGAAGAAGGTAAACAGATTGTACCTATGTTTCCCCCCTTTTTTTATTTATGTTTTCATATTCCAATAAAACAAATGTGGAACTGGTCAGGAAAAAAAGCCATACAACCCTCATATCTTGCAGTTTGTTGATAACAAGCGGTGCTGGTCCTTATGAACACTCTTATAAGAATAATTAACGTGTACATGAAATTTGCAGCCTTTTGGCTAAGATCGAATAAAGTGTGCGATGTACTTTAAATCTATAAAACTCTTTATCGAAGCAATCAAACCTTAACCTGGGTGGGCTTACATTTTGTCAGATCAAGGGCTGTCGACCACGTTTGATGTTTCAAATAACCGGGATTGTTTTTGGTAGATGGTGAGCCTGAGAACCACAATCCAAATTGGGAAGTTAAAAAGCATTGTCCACTGACTAATATGTAGTCCCAGTGGGTATTCGATCCCCGCTCCTTACTTGTGTGTAAAAAAAGAGAAAAGAAACATGACTGCTCGATGTCATGAATATTGACCTAGAACAATTAACTGGTTTGGAAATACCCTTGTGTTTAGCCCAGTGAAATACACTCCTCACTACCAGCAAGGTTGTGCCAAGCCCTGACTGGCTAGTTCCTGTAACGTCTTCTTCCTCCTGTTCCCCCAGCAGTTTTGCACTGAAAGAAAATAGTTAATCATTCATAGGCTCACGAGCAATGAGATAAACATGCATCTAGTACTTCTTAAGCTGTAAGTCAAAGCTCATGTTTTGACTGACTATTAGGCCTATCCATTAACTTGATTGCAAAGCCAAGAAGTTGGGTTCACGCCACTACTGCCGTGAACTCTCTAGAGTTACATCTGCCCCCGTGCTGGTGGTTTTTTTTGGCTTTGACCTCCAAAAATCAAGCTTCTAGCTCTTACATTCGGGAAGGTCAACTTGAAAATGTGGGTGAAGGGCCTAATGGGATTTCAGTCCAAAATAGTTCAAAATAGGAGAGACCATGGTTGGTGGATGCTGGATGCATCGTTCTCTCCCCCCCATTATTGAACATATCTTGTACAAACTGAATATATTTCTGCTGAATGGGTTAATGACCTGAAATGTCCTGTGCTAACATTTATGCAGCCCCTCCAAATTCCAGAATTTGGCAGGTGGGCTTATAAAGTTTAGATTTTGTTCACAACCACATTATTTCTTAGCAGCTTGATAAAGTTACCGTATTTTTCGCTCCATAAGATGCATCTTTCCATAAGACGCACCAATTTTTTAGGAGAAGAAAACAGGAAAATATAATCTGTTTTCTTCGCTCCATAAGACGCACAGACTTTCCAACCCGCCTGTTTTGTGGGGGAAAAGTGCATCTTATGGTGTGAAAAATACGGTAATTCTTTGAAGTGTGGCTTTTGTATCCTCCCCAGTTTACGCTGGCAGGGGTTATTTCTGGAATAGTGCTTCCCAACTCTGGGTCCCTCCCTGTTCTTGAGCTCCCAACTCCCAGATATCCTAGCCATGAAGGAATCTGAGAGTTTTAGTGTGAGAACGTCCGGAGGGGAACCGTGGAGAACCGTGGTTCTAGAAGCTTTTAACTAGATTACATTGAAACTGTAGATGAGGACTAGCAACAGGGAGGAGTTTAGAGTCTTAGTTGAAAACTTGTTTTTTAAAAATGGGCATCTGGATGTGAGGCTGGGAAAAATATGAGAACTTGGAAAAGAGGAAATGAAATGTCAGCAGTAAAAGGGTGCTTTGAGACTTAAGAGGGGAGGATCTCTGTAAGAGGCACGAGTAAAAGGCTGGTCCCCTCCCCTTTCTTTGGGGTGATGAGAGGAGGTTCAGGGTTAAGGCAATAGTATAACAACCCTCTGACGTTTCCTTGATGGGAGAAGTGGTTGGTGTGTTCTACACAAGCACACTGAATATATATTATGTGTGTGCATGCGTACTGTTTGGCGGAGTGGCGGACATGTTTTGCAACCGTGGGCATAAAAGATGCAGTGAAAATTATTCTTACGCAATGGCATGAGTGTGTTTGTGAGTTTGCATTTCTGGCATTTAAAAAAGGGGAAGTACAAGCGAGTTTGGAAGGAGCTAGATGAAAATGTGGAAGTTCTGCTACAGTAAACCTATCTCACACACACCCCGGCCACAATCAGGCTTGGATGGCATCGCTTTTTTTAAAAGCTCCTGTAGCACCCGGCATCTGCAGGACAAGAGGGAGGCAACTGCAGCCTTATGGGGAAAATATTAATAAATACAGTGGAAAATGGGGGACGGACTACAAAACCTCTTTTCCACTCATGTTCCATTGCTTTGCATTGAAATATTACTGTACTCTGTACTTTGAGTCTTCCGTTCTCTACAGCTACACCTTAGTAGCCAAAAATTGTTCCCCCATCTAACCCAGTGCTACTTCCTTGCTGGTACCTCTACAAGGCATTTTCTGGATTCATTGGATGGTGCTGGTTGGGATGATGGGCTTTGTAGTTCATCACCTCCACGTTAGTGGGCACTGATCCACTCTAGCCAATAGTGGCTCTCAAGACTTTCAGGCAGGCATAGGCAACTTGTGAACCTCCAGATAGTGTTGGACCGCAAGCCCCATCATCCTTCATCCCTTGCACTGCTGGCTTGGACCAATGGGGGAGGCAGCCCAACTATTTTTCCCCCCAGGTGGAGCATCTTTCACACCACTCGCTCCCTGATCCTTTAAATTTGAGATGTCAAAGAAAAGGGTCGGGTAGCAAAAGGATCCGCTGGATGAGAAACCTTCCACATGGCAAGATTCATGTGTGTAGATACATAAAATTTGGCTTGTCCACAGATATAAGCCAAGGTCATCTGTAGTTTTAATAGCTCTTTTGGGGGGAGGGGCAGGAGAGCTGCTTACGTGTAAAGTCACGAGGTCAATGGCATCCTCTGAGATTTCTAGTCCAAAACTTGAGAAAGGGGAGCTTTAAAAAATTATTTTCTATTTTTGCAATGTCGTGGAGATGGGGGATAGCAAAGAGGAAAAAGAGTACTACGTCTACTGCTGCAGGACATGTAATAACAGGCTCAAGCTACAGGAAGATGGGTTTGGGATGAATATGAAGAAAAACTTCTTAGCTGTTAGAGCAGTACAATGATGGAGCCAATGGCCCTGGGAGGTGGTGAGCTCTCCAACGCTGGAGGCCTTCAAGAGAAAATTGGACAACCATCTGTCAGATCTGCTTTGATTTGGATTCCTGCCTTGAGCAGATGATGGGGCTTGATGGCCTTACAGACCCCTTCCAACTTAATCATTCTTTGTTAGATCAACTGGAGGTCGAAGAGGCAGGAGGAGAATCTGAGTGAGTAGGTCCAGAATCCACCCAGAGTAAGGGAGGTAGGTAGCTGGTGTCCGTGTTTGTGTTCGTGTGTGTCCATGTGTGTGTGTGTGGTGTGTGTGTGTGTGTGTGTGTAACTTGCATTCAGCCACTGCCGTTCCCCCACCAAGATCTCCGTTCACTGCAGGTGGGTCCCATGGAAGCCAGGGAATTTAAGTGGGGGCAATTTTAAGTGCTTCCTTCCTACGGGCCTCTTCAACAAGAAGTCTCAGAAGTCATGGTGATGGTGGTCTACTTCTTCCCATACTCCAAAGGCCAGCACAGGCTCATGTGTGCTCACCTGCCGGCTCTGACCTTGGTTATTGGGAGTGCCGGCATAGTCTGAGCAGAACACCTGAGGAGACACCTGAGGCAGGGTGTGCCCTTGTTTATTTTTCACCTCCTTCCACGCTCACCTCTCTGGACTGATGTGCTTTCCCGTCTGCTTTCATATCATCCATGTAGAGAGTTAAAAATGGAGCACATGACCCCGATCTGCCAATTCCTAGACAGGAATAATCTGTGCCGTGTGATTCCTTCCAGGAACTCGATGCGACGCGTGTGGTGTTAACTCCCTCGATTCTTACAGAAGGAAGCGAGAGCAAGGTCCAGCCACCGAACTTCCGCCTCTCTCCTTTCTTCCAGCTTTTGGAATCCGGAACCTCAGCAACAGAGATGAATGTTGGATAGCTTGGTGGTTGAGGCATCTGGCTGCAGAAATAGGGAGTTCGATTCCCCGCTGGGGCCTCCTGGACAAGGGCTAGACCCGACGATCCAATAAGGGTCCCTTCCAGCTTTGTTGTTCTCAGATGATGATTGCAAGTGGTTTTCCTTTGCTAAGCAGGGAAACCTCTTAGCAAAGGAAGCAGAGAGTTAGTCTGTGACCAGGCACACAGACTCTCTCTCTATATTTCCACTTTGTGGACAGCTAGGGGTGCATTTTCCTCCCCTCCACATCTGGGATGGTGAAGAAGGGGGACTTCAAAGCACAGCCTTTTGGAGGTGGAACTCACACCGCTGGGCAAAATTCCTGGTTGACAGCTGTAGCTCTCCAAGAAGGAAATGGAGTTGTGAAACTGAAAGCAAGGGGGGGGAGAGAGAGGAGGGACCTTCTGACAAGAGTAATCCTCCAGGCTGTTTCAGCAGGAAGAGGAGCAGAATTGAAGCCGATCAAGGGTGGCTTCCGGGCTCCAAAGGAAACTCTGCCCACCTGGACGAGTCAGCAAGTCGAGAGATCAGGTAACTGAATGGGAGGGGGGGAATACTGCAGGGTGCAACAGGAAAAGGGGTTGGGGAAATGACAGGGTGGCTTGTCTACACAGAGTTCCCTTTTCTCTTGAGGCCTCTAGGATCACTGATCTCTGTCCAGTGGTTCAGAGGACAAACGGGTCCACAGTTTCTTATCGTGTCCTGCCCGTTATCCCTCCGTGAAGCTTCAAAACAGCCAGGAGAGCCAAATTCTAAGCGCCAAAGGCATCTTATGTCTTTTTCTTCCTGCAGGTTGAAAAAAGTTCCCCTCCCCCCCTCCATGACTATTCTTAGAATCTTCCCCCAGAGGATAGCAATCCTGTGAGCTCATGGATACTGGACAATGTAGTCCAAAACAGCTTTTTCAAGTTCTTCCTCCCCCTCCTCCTCCTAGTGTCACCGGAAATGGCTGCTACTTTCTTTCTCTCTCTCTCACGCCATGCTCATTCTGTGGCCGGGACAGAGCTTAGACCGTTACTTTTAAACAACAGTTTGTTACTGTTCTCATCCCAGGACCCCCCAAAGTAGTCAATTGTCATTGCCAATCCCAGGAACTCCTCATAGTCTTGTTCAAAAAGCAATTGGAAAGAGTTGCTTTTTAAAATCTGAACGCCGACAGCCCCTAACCTGTCTGATTGTTTTTCATAAAATCAAAACAAGGAAATAACGTATTTTTGGCCTTTCTTATCTTATGGGGTAGGGACATGGTGGTGCTGTGGGTTAAACCACAGAAGCCTCTGTACTGCAAGATCGGAAGATCAGCTAAGATCGAATCCATGCGATGGAGTGAGCTCCCGTCGCTTGTCCCAGCTCCCGCCAACCTAGCTGTTTGAAAGCATGTAAAAATGCGAGTAGATAAATAGGTACCACCTCGGTGGGAAGGTCACGGCGTTCCGTGTTTAGTCGTGCTGGCCACGTGACCACGGAAACTGTCTTCGGACAAACGCTGGCTCTACAGCTTGGAACCGGGGATGAGTACTGCGCCCTAGAGTTGGACATGACTGGACTAAAGGTCAAGGGGAACCTTTACCTTTATCCCATATGTATTTTAAATAAGTAAATTAAGTAACCTCCAATGGACTACAGTTCCCCATAATTCGACTATATGGTATATAAATAAGTTCCTTCATTTTTCCCATCTTGGACGCCTTCCTAGTGAATGCTGATGGGTAATCCTGAGTTTTAGAAAAAGAAAACAACATAATAACTGTAATAGTTGTGTCATCAAGTTGATTTCAATATGTAGCAACCTTTCTTAAGGATTTTAATAGAAGTGGTTTACGATTGTCTTCTTCTGCGGCACTCAAATTGCCCAGCTCCACGCAGCTGGATTTTCTCCTACAACCGTGATGCCCAACCTTAGGTCCTTCTTGGACTAAAAGTCCCAGAAGCCTTCACTACTAGCTGTGCTGGCCAGGAGTTCTGGGCATTGTAGTCCAAGAACATCTGGGGACCCAAGGTCAGGTTGTTGTGGGTTTTTCGGGCTCTTTGGCCGTGTTCTGAAAGTTGTTCTTCCTAACATTTCACCAGTCTCTGTGGCCAGCATCTTCAGAGGACAGCACTCTGCGCTCTAGTGCAGTTTGTTTGGGAGTTGAGTATTTATAGCTGTGGGATCAGCTTTTGTCCTTTGCAGGAGATGGGTGATTATGGTGATCAGTGTGTTTTTCTACTGTCCTAGAAGACATCATTGGGAATCAAACTCCCAACCGCTGGCTCCACGATCAGGTGTTACAATTCACTGAGCTAGCTATACACGGAGTGCTTCTTCTAATCCCATATTCCCTCTGTCTATCAAGTTCCTGTAAATGACAAGTAAAACAGAATTCCTGTAGACACACGAATGTCGTGCTTGGAGAAAGCTTAGACAAAATGGACTTTGTTGTTTCTCTCATGGTGAGACTCAGTTCTTTGACGTCAAAAGGGTGAGAACCACTGTCCTAGATTTTTTGTTCACCGATTTTCTTTATCTTTTCCCACCTCTATGATATTGTGACTGGACCACAGCGGTAGAGTGAGCTTCATGGCTGAATTGGTTAGCTTGATTTTTAATGGCTGTGCTCACTGCCACACCTCAATTGCTTCCATGATTTCTCTCATCAGAAATGACTCCACCCCCACTTTTTTTTTACACACAGGCCTGAACATGGGTCAAAACTGAGATTCTTCACTGCTAGCCGATGACCATTTGGAAAAGATGGCTGGTCCCTGTGAGTTCTTCGAGGAGATCAGCTCTGAGCACATGAAAGACTTCCACTTCATTGACCGTGGGGCCTTTGGCGACATCTACCGGGTCCGGCACCAAGAGTGGGGGATTGATGTGGCTGTGAAGATCCTCAACCGGTAGTAGTGATGAGTGGGTGGATGTTAGACTGGTGAAATGAATTGCTTGTTCTGGGTTTTTCGGGCTCTTTGGCCGTGTTCTGAAGGTTGTTCTTCCTAACGTTTCGCTAGTCTCTGTGGCTGGCATCTTCAGAGGACAGCACTCTGTGCTCTGGTGTAGTTGGCTTTGGGAGTGCAGTATTTATGGCTGTGAGATAGGCTTTTGTCTTTTTCTGTAGATGGGTAATTAGTGTGTCTTGTTGTGGGTGTCTTGTTGAGCTAAGGAGAAGAGATTGTCCAGTACTGGACAACAACAGCAATCATTACGTCAGACTGCACATGGAAGCCATTGAAATCCACAAGCCCCAGCAAAACTTCAACAAAAAAGAGGAAAGTGTGAAGCTCAACAAAACTTGGCTCCCAGCTCTCAAAACTACAGCGTGCAAAAGGTCAACTAACTCCACCCAGCCAGAAGGACAGGGGATCACTACACACAAAAGACCCTAGGAACATAGCTGCAGAATTTTATAAAATGTTAAAATCAGCTGTAGATCTCTGAAATAAAACTATCAGAGCTGCAAAAAAAATTGACAATATTAGGAACAGGATACATATTACACCAATGTATAACTCAAAAATTGACAATACCTGTATTAGGAACAGGATACATATTACATCAATGTATAACTGATACTTAGGTTTTTCATTAAAACTTGTATATTTATATAATACCACTGAAAGACTATGTCTTGTGTTTATTACTACAACTACCGTGTTTCCCCAAAAATAAGACAGGATCTTATATATATTTTTGCTCTAAAATACACATAAAGACTTATTTTCAGGGGATGTTTTGCTTTTTTTCATGTACAACCATCTACATGTATTCAAATATAGTTATGTCATCTTCTGGTCGCTGCACAAGGGTGGAGGGCAGAGTTTCACTTAACTGGGGCTTATTTTTGGGGTAAGTCAGAGACCTCAACCCCTCCTCTCAAACATTCTGTGCACCTTCCCCGTACCGCTTTTGACCCTGTTGTGTTTCCGCCATCTTGCAGGAATGCCAGCTTCACCCGAGAACTGCTGAACGAAGCCCGTGCCATGGACAAGGCCCGCTTCCTTTACGTCCTGCGTCTTTATGGCCTCTATGTGGGCAAAGTGCCATCGGACGGTACCTGCGTAGGGCTAGTGATGGAGTACATGGAGAACGGCAGCCTGTCCACCTTGCGGGAGTGGGTCAACGCGGTGCCCTGGGCCTTGCGGTTTCGCATCCTCCACCAGGTGGCGCTGGGGATGAATTTCCTGCACAACCTCAGCCCGCCATTGTTACACCTGGACCTCAAACCGAGTAACGTGCTACTGGACGCAGAGTTGCATGTCCGGGTGAGCGGCATCATCCCCTTTTTCTTGACTGGGGATACTTTTGGAGTAATGCACCCTAGATAAGGTCGGATTCTCTGCAATCTATCAGAGATATCAAAATTGATTCAGACCAGAAAAGCATGTTGACTGTTGGCCAACGGTCAATGAGAATATGAGCCCCCAAACCTCTAAATAGACCCCTAAAATATTTATCGATTTAAAATCTTTTTCTACCAAAGCTTTCCCAGGGCACAATTCAAAGTTTTAACCTGGTTTTAACCTAATGCGCATCCCCATCTCCAAGCCGTAGAGCCAGTGTTTGTCCGAATACAGTTTCCGTGGTCACGCGGCCAGCACGACTAGACACGGAACGCCATATCTTCCCACTATTTATCTACTTGCATTTGCATGCTTTCGAACGGCTAGGTTGGCGGGAGCTGGGACAAGCGCTCGGGGTTCACTCCATCACATGGATTCGATTTTATGACAGCTGGTCTTCTGACCTTGCAGCACAGAGGCTTCTGCGGTTTAACCCTCAGTGCCACCATTTCCCTTATGTTTTAACCTACAAAGCCCTAAGTGTGCCGGACCCAAGCTATCTAAAATTCTGTATTTCCCATTATGAGCCAGCTTGGTTATTAAGATCATCAGGAAACGGCTTTCTCTTGGTCCCACTACCGTTATGTGTGCGCTTGGTGGGGACATGGGATGGACCTTCTCTGTGGCTGCTCCCAGACGTTGGAACTCCCTCCCACTGGAGACTTGGCGGCCCCCATCTTTGCTGTCCTTCCGCCAGCAGGCAAAGCCTGCAAAGGACCAAAAACTTGTTTCATCTCTCCACGCAGGCTTTCCCCCGAGTAACTATCTTGCCTGAGTGTGATTTTTAGACAGATTGTTTGTTCTACATTGTTGCTTTGACCGCATTTCTAGTACTTCTCGTGTTTACCGGCTCTCAGAGTGGAGTTTGCTTGTTCCTTTATAAAATACTGTTTTTAGCCTTAAGATCGTATTTTAATGATGCAAGCTGCCTTTTTCTGCTCAGTGTTCTTGGCTTTAAATATTTGCAGTGATGTAAGCCACCTTTTAAAATAAGTAATAATTAGTGTGGTTAATAAAGTGGAGTGGTTTTTTTTGTTTTTTTGTTTTTACAAAATAAAATCAATAGAACAGGGCTGTGCCACAGAGAAAAGCGTGTTGATGCTTCTATGATGTATAATAGTATGGGTACAAGACAAGAGATTGTTGTAACGGGTTTCTCGGATCGTGCCTCTGTCGTTCTGTAAAATGGGTATATCTAATTCTCTAACCTTACCTTCCATTCTGCCTTTATCTCACCGTCTCCCTGGCTTAGGTGGCTGATTTTGGGTTGTCCAAGTTCAAACGAGGATTTACTCGTCCATCCAGTCAAGCTTCCAGGGAAGGAGAAGGATATGGTGGGACGTTGGAATACTTGCCGCCAGAGGCCTTTGCTGATTTAAACTACCATCCAACCCCAGGCACGGATGTCTACAGGTGAACTCAGGCTGCTATACACCAGGGGGCGCTATATTTATATTTGAGCACCATAGAGTTGCAGACGGTGCCACAACTCAACTAAAAACTGCCTGCCATGAGGCAAGTGCATCATATGGTCAATCCAAGACTACTCTGTCCTAGAGATGTGGAGATAATAGTGTAGAAGTCTCCCTTTATTGGTGATTTTCCACGTTTTGTCACACTTTTGACTTCTTGCTGACATTTCCCCTTGTACAAGCAAAAAGGAGACACCAGACCGTTTGATTTTTCTTGTCTGTTTTCGGTGGTTGGTTTCCCCCTCTGTCTTCTCATATGATACACTGCAAAATTCTCCAGAGCTCCGTGCCTAACCAACGGCTCTCGGGCAGAAAAGATGCCATTTTGTGCAGAAATTGTACTAATTCTGTACACTGTGGTGCTATGTTGGTGTTGTTTTGACTTACGTACCTACCGCCCCATAATGCTAAAGTACTCTCTGGATGGTTTACAACACAATTATGCAAACAACACTATGTCCCACAGTGAGCTGGGTACTAATTAACGATGAAAAGCTGAATCAGCCTTGAACTAGTGACCTGAACTGTTAGGATCCAACTCGGGTTGTGAACAGAGGTCTCGCTGCAGTTTAACCCTAAACTGACCACACAACATCTGAGAAATCCTTCAAGATTTCCTCATTAGATTTCGCAGCGGGAGGGGACCCTTCACACAAATCTCATTGTAAGAGGGAAAAAAGAGGGACTTTCTCATTGGTTTGAGAGCAAGGGGTGGTGAGATTCACATTCTGTTTGCCTGCTTCTTGCGAGGAAAGCGATGACAAACTTAGACAGCATCTTAAAAAGCAGAGACCTCACCTTGCTGACAAAGGTCCACATGGTCAAAGCTATGGTTTTTCCTGTAGTGATGTATGGAAGTGAGAGCTGGACCATAGAGAAGGCTGACCGCCAAAGAATTGATGCTTTTGAATTGTGGTGCTGGAGGAGGCTCTTGAGAGTCCCCTGGACTGCAAGGAGAACAAACCTATCCATTCTGAAGGAAATCAACCCTGAGTGCTCCCTGGAAGGACAGATCCTGAAGCAGAGGCTCCAGTACTTTGTCCATCTCATGAGAAGACAAAACTCCCTGGAAAAGATCATGATGTTGGGAAAGAGTGAAGGCAAGAGGAGAAGGGGACGACAGAGGACAAGATGGTTGGACAGTGTCACTGAAGTGACCAACATGAATCTGACCCAACTCCGGGAGGCAGTGGAAGATAGGAGGGCCTGGCATGCTCTGGCCCATGGGGTCACGAAGAGTCGGACAGGACTTAACAACTAAACAACAACTTGCTCCTGCAAAAAAGTAGAATTTTGTTCATAGTCGGACACGACTTAACAACTAAACAACTTGTTCCTGTAAAAAAGTAGAATTTTGTTCACGTTTGGGCTTACAGCACTGGTCCCTCTATAGCAGTGGTGCCCATCCTTGTGCTACAACTCCCGGAAATCCTGGCTAACACGTCGGACACGACTTAACAACTAAACAACTTGTTCCTGTAAAAAAGTAGAATTTTGTTCACGTTTGGGCTTACAGCACTGGTCCCTCTATAGCAGTGGTGCCCATCCTTGTACTACAACTCCCAGAAATCCTGGCTAACACACTTACTGGTGAAGGCTCCTGGGAATTTTAGTCCTAGAACATCTGGAGACCCAAGGTTGAGAACCACTGCTTTATAGGATATTAACTTACTCATGAGGAGCACAGTAGAAGCTCCGGTGATGGAATTACAGATGCTTTTCCTTGGGAAGTGCGAAGCTCTAGCTAAGCAAGCATTCTCCTATAATTCTAACCCACTTCTTTCTCTCTTTCCAGTTATGGCATTCTCATGTGGTCAGTGTTAGCTGGCCAGGAACCCTATCCGCGTAAGTTTCCTTCTCCCCCCACCTAGTCACTTTCGACTCGCCTGAGATTTCTGGGAACGTACCGTATTTTTCTGGTTATAAGACTATACTTTTGTCTAAAATCTTTAGACTAAAAATTGAGGGTCATCTTATACACAGAAGTAAGCTGAGGAGAGAACCAAAACAAGTGGAGGGGAAAGCAGGGATCAAAGCGAGTGATCCTCCAGCACTTTGATCCCTTTCCCCCTATACTTGCTAAGCCCCACTTAAATTTCTTAATTTTGGATTAGGAAAGTGGGGGGCGTCTTATATATGGGGGTGTCTTATACACGGAAAAATGGTATTTAACGGAAATAGTCTCTGGCAAGCCATCATGGTGAAAGATGGCTTCCAAATTTGCTTGACACAATGAGGTCATCTGTATAATTGGTAGTGTCATTGAGGGATAAATACTCACCGGTGTGGACTTGTTCTCGGTTTGCATAAAAATTTGTGTGTCCGTCTAGAATGATCTGATGTATCTCTCCGTGCTCAGATCTCCCACCTGGCAACATGAGTTCCATGATCAGCCGCCTGATCCCGCAAGGCCAAAGGCCAAGCACAGAGGCTCTGGAGAAGACAGACAATGTGTTGAACCTGGAGAACATGATTGATCTCATGAAATGGTGTTGGCATAATGACAAAACCAAGAGACCACCCTTCCGAGGTAAATAGATGTGAGATATTCCCAGTCAGAAGCTGGTTTGAGCTGCTTTACAGATGGATTTCTTTCTATTAAACAAGTGATGGAGCATGAACATTGACCGCCTGACATAGATGAAAGCACTTTCCTCTAATCCCCAAATAGGAAGTTTAACATTTCCCCATTTTTCTGTGGGTTTTCCTGCTCCTTCTCTTGTTTTTCCATGGATTTCCTTTCTGCTAAATTCTATCCAGAACTGGGACTTTCATAGTTTGCCACAAGTGTTAGGTCGCTGGCATCTTTCCCCCCGATAGCATTTAATGATGGACAAATGCAGGCTTGAGTAAAGCAATACTTTGACGGCATTCTCATGTAAAGCAGTGGCATCAGGATTTTACACAGCAGGGATGATAAACAGAGATGGGCAAGAATCACTGGTTTGGGTTCATGCCAGTTTGTTTATTGGCCGGACACATGTTCAGTGCTTTGTAGCCCTGCCTCCCCCAGCAGCTGCCCTCTCAGAGACAGTGTCTGGAGGAGGAAGGGCAGTGAAGCCAGGGCCCTGCCTCTGGTTGGGCAGTGGCTGGAGGAAGCAGTGCTGCAAAGCACCAAAAACATGTTTGGTCTATAAACGAACCGCCACGAACCAATGAACCAGCAGTTCATGCCCATCTTTAATGACAAACCTATGCCCCTCTGACCGCCATGAACCGCCACGAACCAATGAACCAGCAGTTAATGCCCATCTCTAATGACAAACCTATGCCCCTCTGACCTCCTCAGAAGTTGGCCATATTGACTGGGGCTGATGGGAGTTGGAGTCCAACAATATCTAGAAAGCCACAGGTTTCTGTGTCATATCCAAATTTTGGAGGATGACATGCATCATATATATCTAGCTATTCTCCCATGCTGGAGCCAACTTAACACTGATAAAAAGATGCCATCCTTCATCACGACTGAAGGCAGAAATTTATTTAGGGGATAAAAAGAAGGTTGGTTAGCACACCATTTTCTAACACATTTTTGTAAACTCCCAGCATCAACTCCATGGAAAACATGATACATTCTGCCTAATAGTAGGGGTAGCCTTAGAATTAGAGACAAAACAAATAACTGGTGTTGCTTCTTGTTGTAAAATAGGTAATTCATTTTCTAATTAGCAGAGCATAAAGTACAAAATCACAAATTGCTGCAGCATAAGGGAAATGCGAAGGAGTGAATAGCTAAAAAAAATCTCAGTTTCCACCCAGCTTGTTTGTTTTCACAATGAAATTATACTTTTGCATATAAAATACCCTCTATGAGTAACTTAAGTAGAAAAAAATCTTTACTTACAGTAGATCTTCAGTTGCAGTCAGAAGAGTAAAAAGGATAAAGGAAGGAAATTGCAGTCTCAACCATGAGGGAGGCTCATTTTGCCATTGTAGCCAAATGGTTGGCGGTCAGCAGCAGAACATTACAAGTCTGCTTTGGCTGAAGGTCAGAGAGGAAGAGAAGACAAAGCAAGCAGTACAAACAGGGAGGGACAAACCAGAGATATGAGGGAGGAAAGAACTTTGCTAAACGGTTAACAGGAAAGGAAAGAATCCCTTTAAGTGCTGAATACTTTCCTTCCACTGATATTCAGTGTTGCAAATAATGCATGATTGTTAATTCTCCAACACTTCGAGGGAGCTTAAAAGCATTTTAGTATTTCTTTTGTTGAGTTTGTGTGCTCATATGAATGAGAGGTTATCTCTATCATAACTAGTTAAATTTTGTGTGCATTAAACTTTAGTTTGTGAATTGACAGATATGACATTTCCCTCATTCCCATTTTTCTCAGAATGCACACAAGTGACAGAGAAAGCATACAGTTGTCACCAACCACACATAAGGGCTGCTGTTCGTGAAGTTCAAGATATTTTGGTAAGAAGGGGGGGGGAAATCTGATTATTTCTATTTTAGCCTTGTGGGTTTTCCCAAGGAAAAAATAATAATAAAAAAGAAAACCTGAAGTATCACAGCCCCTGTGTCTAAAGATTTGACTCTGAAGAAATCGATTGTTGTATCTATTAAAGCTCACAGTGAAATTAATGTGTTATCTTTTAAAAGGTCCTGAAGTCTTCTTAAATTGTTATTTTTGATGCATTCTTCTAGTGTTGTATCTATTAAAGCTCACAGTGAAATGTATGTATTATCTTCTAAAAGGTCCTGAAATCTTCTTAAATTGTTCTTATTTCTGAGGCATTCTTCTAAATAGCCACTAGGTGGCAGGTGAGCTCTAACTATACTTTGCAAATACGTATGTCCTCTTGTTTTTTTTTTTTAAGCTTGCCTCTTTATATCTTACCAGTAAGATGGTCTGCTGTAAAAAAAGCACAGACCAATGATCATCCTACTTGAGACTGAATGCTTTGAAAACCACATCTAGCCTGGATTTGTAGGTGTGGTTTCTCAGGTGTGACAGCTTTAAAGAAATGCCTCTTTAGAGGGAAAATGTTTTCTCACCTTCTAACTGTGAAGCTCTCAGGTTCTATTTTCCTGATGCTCAGAGGTATACTGCTTTATATTCTCTCCAATATGTCTCTGAGTATCAGGAAAATATTAGCTAAGAGCTGAACTTTGCAATTATATGTATAATCTTTGTATGCATTTACTAAATCCCTTTCTCGAGCAATCCAGAATGGCGACTGTCATAACACCTGGTATTGTTAGTGAATTACACAGCTTAATTCTGTTCTTTGTGAAGAAGTTCTTCCTTTTATCTGAACCTCTCACCAGTCTGTATTCTATTTGAGCTGCTGAATAGCTCAGGCATCTGGCTGTGGAGCTAGAGGAGATGGACTCGATGTTCCAGAGGATTCCTTCCAGTTTTAATCCAGAATGGCGACTGTCATAACACCTGGTATTGTTAGTGAATTACACAGCTTAATTCTGTTCTTTGTGAAGAAGTTCTTCCTTTTATCTGAACCTCTCACCAGTCTGTATTCTATTTGAGCTGCTGAATAGCTCAGGCATCTGGCTGTGGAGCTAGAGGAGATGGACTCGATGTTCCAGAGGATTCCTTCCAGTTTTAAGATGATGATGTGGAGCTAGAGGAGATGGACTCGATGTTCTATAGGATTTCTTCCAGTTCTAAGATGATGATGATGATGAATAGCAGTTACTTCATAGATGGGGGGTTCTCCATTATTTATTTATTTATTTATTCCATTTATACCCCGCCTATCTGGTCATATTGACCACTCTAGGCGGCTTACAACACACAAAGGGGAAAAAAATACAAGAACAATATATAAATAAAAAGGAATTTGTACTTAATTTAAAAATTCAATAAGATGAAGATAGAAAAACATGATAATGAAGGAAAGGGAAAAGATCAGGGATTAACTAAGGGGGGAAGGCCTGCCTGAACATCCATGTTTTCAGTTGTTTCTTAAAAGTACCCAGCGAGGGAGCCGCGCGAATCTCCGGAGGGAGATTGTTCCAGAGGCGCGGAGCCACCGCCGAGAAGGCCCAGTTTCTTGTTTTTTCCTTCCAGGCCTCCTCAGCGTCAGGCTCCTCAGCCTCACCTCCTGACTCGCGCGGGTGACACAGGCAGAACTGGGTGGGAGTAAGCGTTTCGTTAAGTGTTACCCCATAATTTGGCGGGTGACACGGGTAGAACTGGGTGGGAGTAAGCGTTTTCTTAAGTGTTTCATAATTTTATACACTGTCACATCTTCCTTTCCTTGTTATTTTATTAAGATAAACAGCTACCAAATATTGACCCAAATGAAGCAAATCTCCAGTCCCCTTATCATTTGGGTTTCCCTTTTAACACACTTTTCCCACCTCCGGGATATCCTTCCTCAGATCGGGTAGAACTGGGTGGGAGTAAGCGTTTTCTTAAGTGTTTCATAATTTTATACACTGTCACATCTTCCTTTCCTTGTTATTTTATTAAGATAAACAGCTACCAAATATTGACCCAAATGAAGCAAATCTCCAGTCCCCTTATCATTTGGGTTTCCCTTTTAACACACTTTTCCCACCTCCGGGATATCCTTCCTCAGATGGGATAAACTGACTGTGTTTGGTAGTTTGGAATCGTCATAATCATGTTAGACCGGCAGGGCTTGGAAGGGATGCTATGGATTATCCGGCCTCTAAGGGACCCTATGGATCATCGAGTCCGGCCTCCGTCAAGGAGGCGCAGTGTGGGAATCAAACTCCCAACTTCTGGCTCCGCGGCCAGATGCCTGAACCACTGAGCTTGTAATAGTATTGGCAGTAACTTCCAAAGAAATGCCCTGCCCCCCGTTAGTACAGATGTCCTTCTGTCTTTCTCAAAGGCTCACAGGAACAGCTCTTCCTTCAAGAAATGTGGAGTCACCTCAGTCCAAGACGTGAAGAAAGCCAGCCTTTCCCCTCGGAGGCCGGATAAAGTGGAACAACAGCAACTTCTAACTCCTTCCTCTGAATTGGAAGAGAAATTTGAGACAATGACTCTCACTGGATTCCCGTCTTGGCAAAACGGTGAATAAACCGAACTTGCAAAACCGGAGGCCTAAGAGTTCCCTTGACTTGCTTGTTGTTATTTATTCGTTAAATCGTGTCTGACTCTTTGTGACCCCATGGACCAGAGCATGCCAGGCCCTCCTGTCTTCCACTGCCTCCTGGAGTTGGTTCAGATTCATGTTGGTCGCTTCGATGACCCTGTCCAACCATCTCGTCCTCTGTCTTCCCCTTTTCCTCTTGCCTTCACACTTTCCCAACATTAGGGTCTTTTCCAGGGAGTCTTCTCTTCTTGTGAGACTTTCCTTGATAGTTGTAAGTAAAGAACTCTCTGAGGACAACCTCAGACCCTTGGGATGAAATGATGGGGTGCGCAGAACAATTTATATGCTTTTGTTTATCATTTATTTTTTTCCTCTCTGCCCCCCAAAAAACCCAACATTCTGCAGGCAGCCGATCTAAATATTTTTATTAAAACGTTTTCCGTTTTTTCCCCAGCCTTCGCTAATGATCAATTGTTTCTTCATATATAGTTTTGTATGATGTTCTTAACTTGTTATATGGTTTGAATTGCTGCAAGGTGTCTTGGGCCCTTTATGGAGAAAAAGGCAGCAGCAGTTCAATTAAACTGTTTCTTAGAACTGCAGAGCTGGAAGGGACCCTATAGATCATCTAGTCCAGCCCCTGTCCAGGAAGCCCAGTGAGGAATCGAACTCCCAGCCTCTGGCTCCGCAGCCAGATCCCTAAACCACGGAGCTATTGAGCATATATAAAAAAATAAATTCTCTCTCTCTCTCTCTCTCTCTCTCTCTCTCTCTGTGTGTGTGTGTGTACACCTGCTTTGGGTTTTCATTCTGAAATTTAAAGGACTTTCCCGGGAAGTGGAATTTATTGTGGGCCTAAATTTGGACTAAACTTAGAGATGTATTTTTCTCCCCCCCACCCCCGACTGACATCAGCTTCAACATCAACTTCCTTCATTACGACCAGCCAATGGAAATTAGTGGCAGAATTATACAGTGACGGGAATGATTCGATACGAATTAAATATGCAATGCGTATCATTAGCTCATAAAAATAGAGATTTCATAAGATAACCCTTATCAATTTTTAATGGCACCATTCCTCGCCAGCGAGCGAATGCCGCTGACTTCAGAGCTACTGGCCTCCATGGCGGAGGAGAGTGGCGAGGCAGAGTGAACGTCCTTTGCTCAGAAGGGAAGGTGCCCAGAAAAGGCAGGGCCGGCCCTACTCTTAGCCAAAGTGAGGCGGTTGCCTGAAGTGGGGGATGCAAGGAATCCAGGGCCCGCTGTGAGAGGAGTGAGGTTCGTGCCATACGGCCTTCCTTTTAAACCCCTAAGTGGTCCTCTTGATGCTTTCAGGTACCCCAAAAGAGACATGTCCCATTTACTGTGTTGAAGGATATTCAACTAACAGCCTAGCTGGCGCTCATACCCAGAGCGGGAAAGGCCACCATTTCACCTCCCCATGGCAAAGCATCTTGGAGAGACTTGGAGAAAAAAGCTTCATTGTCCCTTTTTTCCTCCTTTTTTGCTTGTTTGGTTCGGTTTTTCCTGCTCCAATATCCTTTTTTGTTTTCTTCTGGTGCTTTGCTGGTGCCTTCTCCCTTCTCCTCGCGTTTCCAGGAAGAAGGGAAGAGCGTTTATTTTTATTCGGATTGGAACATTTGGCAAACACATCCCAAAGGTTGGAAATGTTGTCATTAATTCGTTATTCTGTTGTAACCATTACAACCCCGAGAATCGCCAAACCTAGAATACCAAGTGGTCCTGCTGGCTGTGGAATTCTCAAGAGTCCAATTCCCTCAAAAATTAACTTTCCCCAGTTCTGCCCATCATATCGTCCCAACCTGTTGTGAAGATGCCATTTCTTACGAACAAGGCAGTCATTTAGAGAGGGATGATTATCATGTCTCAACCAGCCCTGAATTGTGAGGTGGGGGTGGGTGGAGTCACCTATGGCGAATCGGGTTAGATTGTGGGGGACGAGACAAGCCTGCCTGCATCACAGATAAGTTATGTGCCAAATGCCTTTTCTCTTAAAAATGCAAGCATGGAAGATTGACTACAACTCCCCAAGTCCCCAGGCTAACAAGGCTACAGCCTGTACTGCTTAAGCTTTATGAGAATTGTTATCGAAAATGGTAGTATTTGTCGCTGTTATCAAAATGTACACACTCACCTTCTCCCTCCCTTTCTTTCTTTCCTCTCAGAGGCTGCGCCCTCAGAAGCGTCTCCCAAACCAAGCCCAGAAGGGAAACCATCAGCCCCACCGTTTCTCCAACGAAGTCAAAGCGCTTACGGTGACAAAGTAAGAACACAACCGTAATGGCCCCATATCGGCCTTTGAGCATTCTGAATAGGGTGTAAAGAGCGTGCGTTGAATTCTGCGTTCTCACTTGTCAATTTCGGTCATTTTGACTGGAAGAGATGTCTCTGTGAGCCCAAGTAGGTGTGTGGTTCCTCCACCCTTATTAAGGTTTCCATAACTTATACAAAGCTGTGGAAAGTTACGGTTGCTTCCCTTTCAGAAGCAAAAAAAGCCCACCCTCTCACACAGAACCATGAGGGATCCTTAAGAGACATAAATATCTTCCTTGAAACATCTAATCTTTCCAGCTGTCTGCAACAAAGCAACAGCCTTTGTCATCTTGTGCAAATCACATGGTCTGCATTGAAATGTTTTATGTAGTTTTGCTTTCTTGGCACAAAAATATCCATCGGGGTTATTGCGCTTCTCGAGAGCCCCACAAAATACCTAACCCTGTGAGGGGACCAGGAGAATCGTTTGGCAGTTCCTTGCCCTCACCTACAGGCAAGAGAGAAGCAAGGCCATCTGGTCCCCTTCTGAGAACTGGATCACACTTCAAGGCAAACACATATTGCGTTGTTATCCCTTCAGACACACAAATCTTTCAGCACTACATGGTTGAAGCAGCAAGTATGAGCACAAATTTGTGTTGGCTCTCAGGTGACCAGTCAGGGCAAGGTCATTAGCTGAACGCAGGCTGAGAGGATGGCAAACAACCAAAGTTTTGCTACTTAAGGGCACATTCTTCTGGTACAGAATGGGCATGTCATTTAAGGATGCGCTATGATGCTGAAGAGAGAAATCTCTATCTAGTAGGATCCTGTGGGGAGGGGAGACTGCTGGTTAGGGTTGCTGTGGGACTGGGTGGGTAACCGGTGACCAACGAAGGGCTTAGTGAGTCACCAAGGTAGGCAGCAAAGGACTGGATTGGGTCCTCTCAGAGCTCAAAAGGTACAGTTGGCATCTCAAAACTTTGCAAACTTGCCGCACCTGTGTCCCTCATGTTTGATCTAATCCAAAATGGCGACTGTGCCTTGAGAGAAGAATTCAAGATGGCACCTCTCCCACCAGCTGATCTCAGAATGATTGCCTGTGACTCCAGCTGTATTTCTGGGGACCTGTAACCGACCTGTACTTTGACTGAGGGAAACAGCTTTCTAATTAACTCTGGGGCTGTATATATCACATGCATGAACATTTAAGGGCCCTGAACGGGAGCTTCTTATTAATTACATGGATGCTTTTTCTATCCTAGGGAGGAGAGGAAGCGGGCATTGAAGAAACTTATCACCCACAGGTGAACATACGGACTCGGCCCAAACTTGCAGGTATTACTTGCTTTTTACTAACAGGAATGATGTTCTGGGAGTGATCACATAGGAGAATAGATCACCATTTGGACGGCTTGCAGAGTGTGCCAGTGCATTGTGTTTCCCAACAGTCATTCCGAAGTTGGATCAAAAAGGCTTCCGTGAGGTTTCTATTTTGTGGCCGGGGGGTTGGGAACGGGGGCACTGGAGCGATTCTCTAGTAGATGAAAGGGTTGCTTTAAGGGAGATCCTTTAAGCAACCCTTTCCAGTGTGCTCCTTTACAGCCATTCTATATTTGGGGACCAGATTAGAGTTGGGCACAAACCTCCCTTTGGAGATTCGGGCTGCTTCGTCGGCTCAGCACCACTGGTGCTGTAAATTCTCTTGCCCCACCCCCATCCCCAGCCAGATCCTCCACTCGCCAGCTGGACGCTGCTCTCGTCCTCCTCTTCAGGCATCTGACCAGTCCCGGCAGGAGCACGTTGTTCCCTCCTCTGCCTCCTCCAGCAGCCACTGACTCAGACAAGGTGGCTGGGCAGGGATTCCTGCAATACTGCCTTTGAGTGGGCGGCTGCTGGAGGAGGCAGAGGAGGGAAGCAGGTCCTCCTGCTGGGATTTGATGAATACCCAAAGGGGAAGACAGGAGCAGAGTGTGTTGGCTGGTGAGTGGAGAATCCAACTGGGCAGGATAGGATGAAGGAAGAGACTGTATAGCATCCATGGTGCTGGGCCAACAAAGCAGCATGAACCTCTAAACCAAGGTTTGTACCGATCTCTAGAGCAGATATAATACACCATCCCTGAACAATGAACCCACTGTGGAACTCATGTGATCTTTCAGAGTGCCTGTGTAAAAGGGTTCACCGTGATCTTAAAAAAACCAGTGTATATATGTCAACATCATGCACTTCCCTTTCATGGGAGGCAGGAGGGCTATGGGATGGAATATGAGATTCAAAACTGTTTGAGCCCTTTGCTTGTGCCTTTAGCCTTTCACCTTGTTCATCTTGTTGCAGAGTTTGGAAGAAAAAAAAGAGTAACAGTCACAAATACAGCCGTAGAGCCCAACTTACCATCGATCTCATGCATCACAGCAACAGTGCATGTTAATGGCTGAAATCCTCATACACACTTACACAAAAGGCACAGCATCTCAAACCAAATACAGTGGTGCCTTGCATAACGAGCGCACCGTTTAACGACGAATCCGCAGAGCGGCGCATTTTTTTGCGACTGCTAATGCGATCGCATTGCGGTGTTTAGATAGGCTAAACATCGCATTGCCATGATCGGTAAACGTTTCGCTTACCAATCTTCGCATTGCAATGTTTAGAAAACAGCTGATCGGCGGTTCCAAAATGGCTGCCAGATCAGCAAAATGGCCGCCCGCAGCATTTTAGCGCCCTGCTCTCGCTTACCGGGCAGCAAAAATGGCGGCCAGATGGGGGAATCTTCGCTTACCAGTGAGTTTTCCCCCCATAGGAATGCATTAAACGGAGTTTAATGCGTTCCTATGGGGTTTTCCCTCTCGCATAGCAACGAATCCAGATGGCGACGTTAATCCTGGAACGGATTAACGTCGCTATGCGGGGCACCACTGTAGTCAATAGAAACCCAATCTAGCAAGAGAAGCTTTGTTTCAAAAGTCTTTGTGTACTTTCTCCCTTTCTTTCTAAAGGTAGAAAGCCCCGTCCCTATTCAGATACGTACCTGCCCTGTCACCCTGGATACCTGCCTTATCAACAGGTAAGGGAACTGATCAGTCTTAGTGATGATGATGGTGATGTTGGAGTTTTAAAGGTTAGGACGATGGGGGGGAATTGGGTGTCAGGGAAGGGACAACAGGGAGATTCTTCAAGGAGTGGTTTTACCTTTCTGCCCCCATTTCTATTGTATTTTGCTCCTGAGATAAAGCAACACGAAGAATGAGAGATCAAAAGAACAAGACTCTTGAAGCTTGCTTGTCCACACTAGCATAAATGTACTTTGTATGAATCCCTGATGGCAAGGTTTGGACTGGAAAAAATATACCTCGTGTTTAAGTGTTTCTGCTTAGAATGATCCCTCTTGCTTTAAGAGCTGTCCTGCACTTTTCTGGCCTAGCAGTAGGGCATCCATTCTTTTTGGCCTGCTTGTTTCATCTGGAGATAGCAGCCTCCAGCAGCCTTTGCAATCATGGCTCCAGGTTGTGAGGGAGAGTGTGAGAAAAAGTGGGGAGAGAAAAAGGGAAGTCGGGAGAGGGTAAGGCAGCCCTGACAGAGGGAGAGAGAGAAGTGAGGTAAAAATAAATAAATCACTTCCCCTGACCCTCTGCAGACGATCAGGGGAAGCACCTAATTGACAGCTGATCGGGCTACAAGAGGTCGTTTGCTGTTCAGACCGGAGGAACATGTCAAATGGTGCATGGCTCTTCCCCTCTACCAGAACAGAGCCTATGTAGCCACACCCAAAATGGCAAGTCTGGAAAAGGTTTCTGGTTTCTGGCGCCCCTCAGTGGCCAGTTCTGTTAAATCCATTGTGAAAAATCTTTATTTGTGGGCTTTTTTTCTTTTAATATTTTTAGACTGCGGATAAGTGAAACTGCAGATAACAGTCCCATGGATAAGGAGATCTGTTCTAGGAAGAGTGACAGTAGGATCTCATGGGATCCTTTGATAGATCCCATCCAGATAACGAGATTGGCAATGGGCCTTCTCATTTTTTCTAGAAGATGTGTGAGACAGCAGTACAATAATATTTGGAACAAATCCACACAGTTTTGTTCAGTGACTGGAGCTGATGCTCCAAACTGGTTTCCCTCAGAAGACAGTGATGCTTTAATGTAGGGGTGAGAAGCTTCTGACCCTGTGGCAGAATCTGACCTTGTTGAGGTCTTTGGCCATTAGAGGCTCCTCAGAAGGCCAGCAAGTGGAGTTTCAGGTTTGGTAGAGAGTCTTGCATCCCAATTTTAAACTGTGAAATGCTGCTCCTTTTTTAACTTTCCCCATGCACCCACCCATTTACTTATTTCTTCGTTATTTCTCTCCTTTTCTCATCCCGCATCATTTTTAGCAGTTTTATAGCTCCCAAGTGGATGCAAGATTTCTCCACCAAGATCGTTCCCTTCTGCCACAGTTTCAACCTCGGTCTTCATGTAAGTATGTGATTATCATCATCATGCGCTGTCATGTCAATTCTGATTTATGTCAGCCCGCTTCAGGGATTTCCAGGTAGAGAATATTCAGAACTGGATTACCCTTCCTTTCTTCTAGATACATCCTAGAACGGTTCAGCTTGCCCAAGGTTACCAAGGCTGGTTCTTCTGCAGGGAGGCACACTGGGGGAATTAAATTCCTTCCTCTGGCTCCATAGCCAGATACCTAAACCACCGAGCTATCCAACCAGTAAATACATAGCAAAGAATAAATCAAAACTAAACACAGTGGCAAAGTCATCTGGTATTTTAACAAGAAACTTGTTGCCTAACTCAAACCTCCTTGACAGCCAGGTTGTTGTTATTATTGTTATCATTGCTCCACTCAGGGGAATAATTTGCTGCTTTGTGCATTATTAACCTATTATAGTGGTACCCGCTTAATGATTACCCTGTTCCACGACGAATCCACATAACAATTAGGTTTTTGCGATCGCTTTCCTATCTAAACAATGTTTAGATAGGAAAAAACGCTTTATGATGATCGGTTCCCTGCTTTGGGAACCGATTTTTTGCTTTACGATGATCAAAAAAGTTGATTTTCTGGTTTCCGAAATAGCCGCCCGCTGTGCAAAATGGCTCCCCGCTGTCTTATGGACAGATTCTTCGCTCTACAGGGAGCCCTATGGAGGATCTTCGCTGGATGAGCAGGTATTTTGCCCATTGGAACGCATTGAACGGTTTTCAATGCATTTTAATGGGCTTTTTTATTTCACTTGACGACGATTTAGCTCCACAGTGATTTCGCTGGAATGGATTTATGTCATCAAGCGAGGCACCACTGTACAATGTTGGTGCCAACAGGCCAGGAAAACACAGGAAGATGTTCCTTGGTACCCTCTAGGGATTTTCGCCGGACATCTATTAGGTCTGTGCTTCCCAAACCGTTTGTTCGCAAGACAATAATTTTTTTCGGTGATCGTCGGCTTCGCAAAATGGCTGCCCTGTGTTTTCTGGACCCATGCTTCGCAGGACAGCCATTTTTACAGCTGATCGGCGCTCGCAATATGGCTTCCCTATGGGCGATTTTCGCTGGACGACGAGGTATTTTCCCCATTGGAACGCATTAAACCGGGTTTCAATGCATTCCAATGGGGAAAGGGTTTTCGCATGACGATGATTTTGCTAAACAGTGATTTTAATGGGACGGATTATCATCGTCATGCAGGGCACCACTGTATTCTATAATTCATTGTTATTTAGGAGACTGAGAACAATTTCTTTTATCTTTCTCAGACAATGGAATCCATATCCATGGTCAAGACATCAGAGGCGTCCAGTTTGGAGACCATAATAACATGCATATCGAAATGAGAAATTCAGGAAGCCGTGGGAAGAAGCCATGATCAATGCCTTACAGGGTATGGATGCTTTCTTATGGACATTTCTGCTTCTTCTGCATTGAGGCCATTCACTCTACATCTGAATATTGTCTTTCCCACCTCAGTGTTCTGTTTTACCATCATCTCCACTTCATTCCATGAGGACAGTCTGGTAGAATTTCAGCTGGAACCCATTTGTCAATCCATATGTCGCGTTTTATTTCATTGTTTGTTAGAAGAAATGAGAATGACTCACTCTGACCAGCAGAAGTGGCTCTGCTAATTCCTCCTGTCAATTGGTGTTATAAATAAGAACAAGGACCTCCCCCAGAGCCCTTTGAGCCATGCGTGTGGGCTGCCTGACCTGCCAATCTGGGAGTCTCTGGGTCCCTCCCAGGGTTGCCTAGTGCTTCTGATTGAGAGGAGGAGTTGGCTTTCAGGGATGGGGACGACCACGGACAGACGGATGGGCATGGGAAAATGGGCATTAAAATTAAATTTAAATCACTTTAAAAGTTTGTTGGTTTGTTTTGTTTTGGTTCGTTGCTTTTGACAAACCTGAACTGACCCGAACCAACAAATCAGCAATTTTTGGTGAACTTCCTGGTTGTCTTTTTGGTTCATTTATCCTTCCCTGCTCATGAGCTATTCATTCTCTCTATCCTGTGGCTGATACTAGCTGGCGACAGAGGCTCTGAAGAAAAACGCACACAAACCAAGATTTAAAACACACTAGATACAAATGTGCTATTCCTACATAGCGAATGTCGGCAAACTTCATAGATTGAGGAAAGCCACTTCTCACCCCCCCCGCCCCAAGTCCCATCCTGCACGTAAAACCACGTTTGGTCTGAAGAAAATAAACTTTTTCACAAAAGCAAGGCATATGGGGTGGCGCTCTTTTCCTGAGTTTTGAAAAAATAAAAGTCATAAAAATGTAAAATAAAATTAAAATATAAGAAATACAAAAAAGGGTGTTGTTTTTCCCCCCAAAAGGATGGTGCTGATTGACGAATTCTGTTTGGTTTTGTTATGAGAACATTTTTAAGGCATATTCTGTTGTTGTCGTTTTTTTTTAACCTACTATGGAATGTGTGTGTGGGGGGGATGAACGTATGAAGGGATGATTAAACCTAACTTTCTTCAAAACCCAGCCCTGATTTCACTTCAACACAATCATGAAAAGAGCAACAAGGATACAGCTCTGCAGAAGCATGTTAAGGGCTTTGCATTCATAGGAAAA